CCAAACTGTTTCATTTGGCCCTGGGTGGGATGACACCGAGGTTGTAGCATCCTTCGAGGTTACAAAGGTCAAGACATTGCCTCTAAAATTGGGCCAGAAGGTGGAGAGGGGTAGTCTATCCCCTTACTAGCTTCATATATATGGCATATACATATATGCACACACACACACACACACACACACACACACACACACACACACATATATATATGGCCAACTTTGTCTTTTTTTCTGATACCCAAAAAAGTTTTTGCTGGTTTCTATGGGTTAGGAAGGTCTACTGCAAAGTCTACTGTGCTTTATGGGACTTAAAAATGACTGGCATGCTTCCCTCCCCACTTTTAAAGTATACTGTTGCAGTTGTGCTTTGCGGTTGTTTGTCTTTAAGAGCATCTCCCTATACTTTTTTTTTTTTGCATTAAAAGTTGATTCCCTTATCCGCTCAGTAGAAATTGGCAAGTCCAGTGCCTGATTTGTTGGCTCAACTTCCTCCTGGATTTATATGTATTTTGTGTGTATTTTAGGATAACTCTGGATTGCAGGACCTGCTGGGGGGATGCATGGGAGGAATCCTCCTGGTCCTGAAACTTTGCCATGGGAAGAGTGCTTCCATGGAAGGGGGTTCAAGGAAATCTCTTGTGCCTCCCGTCTCTGTTCTCTCTCTCTGTGTTTGTGTTGGATGGAGAGAGAAAGAGAGAGATGGAAAGAGGTGTAAGATAATCCTGCAATCTATTTACCCAGAGGCTGAGATTGAACTGTCTGAATATCAAATGGGAAAAGATCCGCTCTGTAATCTTGGCCTCTTGAATGCTGTACTAGAGCTTCACAAGGGTGCACTCTTTTGCTCTCTCTATGATTGCCTTCACATTGCCTCTTAGGGCCACCCCATGAATTTCGTAGGGTTTTCTTAGGCAAGGAAGACTCAGAGATAGTTTTGCCAGTTCCTTCCTCTGAAATAGAGCCTACAGCACCTGGGATTCCTTGTTGGTCTCCTATCCAAGTACTAACCAGGGCTGATCCTGTTTAGTTTCAAGATCAGACAGGCTCTGGTATTTAGGTCCTGTGTTCTATTGTGTGTTTATATGTGGTATTCAGAGGTACACTGCCTCTGGACATGGAGGTTCCATTTTACTATGAGGGGGTATTCCCGGAGTAGGAGGAATCGGTAGGATGTGCCAAGGAAAACTCCAATGGGAGTGGCATTACTAGGGGCCCATCCATACTACAGAATTATAGCACTATTATTGCACTGTAGTGCTCTTGTTCCATAACTGCCTTGGTTCCATATTATGGAGTCCTGGAGCTTGTCGTTTAGAAAAGGGCATTTAAAATTCTCTAGTGCAGTGATTCCCAAACTCTGGTCCTCTAGGTTTTTATACTTCAGTTCCTAGAAGCCTCAGCCAGCTTGGTCAATGGTCTGGGATTCTGGGAGCTGAAGTCCAAAACCACATGGAAGGTGAGAGTTTGGGGATTAGTGCTCTAGTGCTTCACCAGACTACAAATGCCAGGATCCCAGAGGATGGAACTATGGCAGTTAAAGTGGACTATAATTGTATAGTCCAGGAGGGTCAGTCTGTTGGATTAAAACTCTGGAGGACCAGGGTTCTAATTTCCACTCAACCATGGAAACCCACTGGGTGATCTTTGGCAAGTCACACTCTCTCAGCCTCAGAGGAAGGCAACAACAAGCCACCTCTGAACAAAGCTTGCCAAGAAACCCTGGCATAAAGTTGCCTTAAGTCAGGATGACTTGAAGGCACACATTATTATTAACATGGTGTAGTGTGGCAGAATCCAAAGACCTAGTCATGTTAGTCTGGAAAATCAGTATGAAAAGGGATCTACAAGGTGCTACAAGATCCCTTTGCATTGTGCAGTATGAGTAGGCTCAAGGTGGGTTGTATTTGAGGGAGACACCAACAATCGTCTGGATTATAAGTATAATTTATTAGGCACTCATGTGATAAATAAAGCCATTTGAAGGAGCTAGCGTGACTCCTCAGCACCGAAAGCAACACAGCCGTGTCGGAGTACATGTATTGATAAAGGAACACTCTATCTGTGCCATGGCTGTTTGTGAGGAAGGATTACTCTGGGTGGCAGAGGCTTTTTTTCTTGCTCCAACTTCCCGAAGGAAGCCGGGGATGGATGCTGTGGTCTTGGCTGGGGCTTACCAGCCTTTCCCAATTCTCTGAGATGAAGCCAAAACCGGCCACTTGGCAGGTTCCTTGCCATCACCACCCCTGCCTCCGCCTGGCAAGCACCCTGGGACTCTCGGCTTTGCAGGCTGAAGGAACGCGTGCCAAGCCAAAGTGTCTGGCTCGGCTCCTGGAACCGAAAGCTTGGCCAAAGCCATTGGAGCTGATGGGCCACATCTGAGGAGAGAGGCAATACCGCAGCGAGATGAGGTCACTGCAAAATGCTGAAGTGGGGGCAACAGAGGCCACCTTGGGCCTTTCCTGCTGCCCAGGGCTGTGAGTGGCAGTTCAACCTACCCTTCCATGAATGTGAGGCCAAACCAGGCCCTTGGCTGAGAGACGCCTTTTATAACATGTGCATGAAAGGAAAATGTTGGAGCAGGAGTGGAAATCATGCAACACATGCCTACATGGCCCATGAACTACCCCCCAAGTTCTCCAAGTGAAAAAAAAAAAAAAAGGGTACAGTCTGTCCTCCATAACCACAAATTCTTTATCCATGGATTTCAGCATCCATGGCTTGAAGATAGGTAGAAGATATAGATAGATAGATTCCAAAAGCAAAGTTTGATTTTTGCCATTTTATATAAGGGTCACCATTTCACTATCAGTTGCATTTAATGAGGACTTGAGTGTCTTCAGATTTTGGTATCCATGGAGGGTCCTGGAACCAAACCCCAGCGGATACCAAGGGCCCACTGTACCAAAATAACCCAAGGGTTTTGCCTCTTCAACAGTCTTTTGGGCTCCCTTTTGGGCTTCCCAGAAGGCCAAATAGAAGTCCCTGGGATGTTACTTCTAGCTCAAGCCAGTCTTGTTGATATGGCCTTTATGCAGAAAATAGAGCTCTAAACTTGCTGCTTGGGCACCAATGCACCCACCACTGCTGCAAAGCAAAGGTGCTCTGCATGAGGTTCCTTGGGGTCATATTGTGCCAAGGAGCTGAAGGCAGAAAGAGTCTGGACCTACAACTATTACAGGTTGAGTCTACCTTATCAGAAATTCTTGGAACCAGAAGTGTTTTGGATTTCAGATTTTCAAATATGCGCACAGACGTAATGAGATCTCTTGGAGGTGCAACACAAGTCTAAACGTGAAATTCATTTATGTTTTGTATATACCTTATATGCATAGCCTGAAGGTAATCTTATACACAATATTTTAACTAGCTTAGTTCATGAAACAGAGCTTTGTGTACATCGACCCATCAGAAAGCAAAGGCGTCACTATCTTGGTCACCCATTAAAAAAGTTTTGGAGTATTTTGGATTTCAGAGTTCTGGAAAAGAGAGACTCAGTCCATAGCACAGTTTAGCTTAAAGATCAAGCCTCAGAAGAGGCATTTTGACCTTTCAGAATGGGAAAAAACAAAGTTGGGAAACTATCCCATGATGGTGACATGGGGAAGGGGTTTGTGCAAACCTAGGCTCTACTTACTCATGATTGGAACAAAGCTAGTCAGCCAAGGATTTTTAGGATTTCAGGTCAAATATTTGCAGTCTGCCTGCAATGGCCAGTGGTTCTTTCTGGACAGTATTGCCCACCTGTGGAGTGTTCCTGTGTCTTCCTTAGCTTGGCATCCCTGACATCACCCCAGGCTCCTGGTTTCCAACTCTTGCCTCCCCTGCAGCTTAGCTTTGGGCAGCAGCAGATGATGGATGCCCATACATTTTTG